AGAACTTCGCTGTTAGCCCTGGCTAAATCTATATATTGCATTGTACACACTATCTGTCTCCTCATTGGCTAAGAGCCTACAGTTATTTTTGGACATCAGCGCAAGTTATCTGCTAGCAGATAACAGACTTATCTGTAGGTTGCGCACCCAACGCATGATTTCCAATAACAATATCAATTTAGGTTCCTTGCGACGGTGTTGCTTCAGGAAATATCGCGCATTGAGTGGTAAGAGTTGAAAAATTGATTTCCTTTATTTATTTGTCCATAGTTAGCTTGTTTACGTAGTCCATAAAATGCAAAATTAGGCATTTTCACGTCGTAGTCGTGCAAAAATAGGGAAGAAATGTACAAACAAGTAGTGACGCACAAGCCAAGTTGTTGTTTTGCTTATAAAACCCATTTTCTTTTTTTTACATTCTCGTTAACGTCCGCGTCGTTGGATCAGAAGGGACTTTTTAAAAGATCCAGGGACGCGAAGGCAAGGACAACGTCGCTTAAAAAGTGAATTTGTGTTCTTTCAGTCTTTATAGCGATTATTCCTACCCACTTACTTTCTCAAATGTAGGCGAACCCTCATGAAGCTGAATTTCAAGTGACCATATCCAAGCTCAGAAAGAGAAATAAATTTTCGTCGTTGTTTGTTTACGTTCTCCATAAAACACGAACTTAACCAAAAAACGGGAAAGAATTGTACAAAAAAGTGTGATGCACGTACGAAGTTGTTGTTTAGCTTAATTATATTAAACATATAGTTTTTTGACGTTATCGAAAGTCCCTATTAAAAGTCCCTATTGCCACGCAGAGTCGCCGGCTGGTAGAGATGGCTAAAATTGACCCAGTTTCACCTTTTTACCTCACCCTTTGATTAAAAATAGCAACTTTGCAATGGGAAAACCTACAAGAAGGCAGTACAAAAAACGAGCCTTCAGGATTGAAATATCTAATATTGTGCGTTTTGGAATTGAAAGTGTTTTCACAATTACCCCCGGCCTACCAAGAACAGACTCTCAGAAAATTCCTAAACTTCGATTGTGTCTTACAGAGATTTCCCTCAATAACACAAGCCAATTCCCAGGAACGTTTTCAATGGATGTCTAAATGTGTGATTTAAATAGTATGAAGAGAATTTGGAGTTATGACCACATGTTTAATATTGCTTTCAAAAATGAGTACCGAACTTAAGTTTTTGTTATCCTGAAAAATTTAAAACTATCCCTCATTATTGAGGAGTCTTATGAAAGTTAACACCCTAATGTATGCACTATATGATTCAAATCTCAACGAATTGTATTTAAATGATAACAACTCCTCAACAAATACGAAGAATATCTAATTAACTCTACGTGAAGAACTGACTTCACACCAATATAATCTGAATGACGGAAATATCAAGAAACTAAAATTCTACTGAATATTCAAAAAATGACTGTCACAAAAGTGATTGCTTGAACATAATCACCAATATAAATCACAAAAAAAAAACGCTGAATAAATTCGACACACTTGGCAACCATCGTACCGAAAACTCCAGAAAATTTTCGAATTTGCCCCTTCTGCCACTTAAATGAACTTGAACACGAATTACACTTTCTATTCAATTGTAATCTTTACGATAGTCTTCGATCTAACTTTTACAGAAACATTAGTAATAGATACCCCCTTTTTTAATAGTTTTGACAACAGTGAAAAAACCCTCTTCATATTTAACAATGTCGATCCTTATATCAGCTCCACAGACTTACTGAGCTGCTTACGTACATTCTAGTGTACGGATATAGACAAAAACTTGTTCTTTAATTATAGCTTTTAATATGTAGGTAATACCATGTACTCACGTGGGAATAATAATGATAATAATAATAATAATAATAATAATAATAATACTAATAATAATACTAATAATAACAATCTTTATACAGGGAGCCATGCAGTCACTTCTCGAAGAGTGATATTCAGTGAGACCCTGAATACTGAAATAAAGTTGTTGTTGCTGTTGAATTAAATTTCAGTGCGACGAGCCTCACTATTACCCCGAAAGTATCTTCTAGTGAAAGAAAAAGAATTTTTTCTGTTCATAGAAAGTGTCCAAATTTATCCATGCTACTTCGTTTGCGAACGCGAGGAAAGTTGATTTCAGTACCGGCGTGGCACATAAAGACAAAACACGTCCCAGAATCCAGAAGCATTTCCCAGAACCAAGTGTTTTTGGATTCTGGAACGTTTTGGCTTTTTAATTTGCAAATTAGGAGGATCCGGCGTTTTATATAAGATTTCATTTTACACAAAGTTACAAACGTTCACGCTAATCAACATCGCATTGTTTCAACCATTCAAGCCCGTATTTCACCTGAGGCGGAATTCAAAGTCCTCGCCTGACTTTTCAGTTTGCTAAGTTTTACGGGTATAAACGGTCCTCAGTCTGAACGTGAACAAAATTTGTCGAGTGCGTTTGACGTAATGCCTACTGAATAGTAACTAATTCATATTCCCATAAAAGCCACCTTATGCCTTTTGATGGATAAGTTATGGGTGAAAAATTTTGCATAAGGCATAGGGTGGGCTGATAGGGAAAATTTGCCAGCGCCGCTGAAGGGGAGGAGGGTGGGGAAACTTGCTTGCCCGTTGTAGAGTAGACTTGCGAGAAGACGGCGAATTTGTTTGCTAGGGCGTATAAAAGGCCTAGGGAATTTTCCTGGGGACCGTAAAGGACCAACAGACTGCTTCCCGAGGGAGCACGCAGTAATCCAGTTGATTAAATCGTCACGCGGCGGCTTTTATACGAATGAGAATAGTAACTAATTCACATTCGCATAAAAGCTACCTTATGCCTTTTGATGGATAAGTTATGGGTGAAAAATTTTGCCCGAGACCAGGGGTGCTATAGACTCACCCAAAAGACGGTAAATTATTGCAGAATACCTCATTAAGTTGCAGTACAGCCAAATCTCCCCAAAACTCAGAAAAACCAAGAAAAACCCAGAAAAACTCCCTTAGAGAGATGGGCAGTATTGGCGTAATGCCTCCGCTCCCAGATGTGACGGATTCAATTGAGGGGAGTGGCTCGGCCCAGCTGTGGGGCTTTCCCTCCCAGATACGCTAAACGAAAGCTGAAGGGTGACTTGCAGCATGTGTAACCAGGTTAGAGAAATCCGAATGGGAGGAGATAAAAAGAAGGAAAGACCCTGCGAAAGAGGGAGGCTGGGAGGGAACCCCACAGTTGAGTCGAGTCAGGAAACCGTCCGAAGACTGGAAAGGAGTGTGTTTAGGAACCCCCCCTGAGCACGACTCAAGTGTGGGGTAGGAAATATGGGAAGTAAAAGCCAAAGAAAAATATAATATACAAGGAAACTCGTGCAAATTTATAAAGGCTGTACGCTAGAGTAAAGAGAACGTGGTTACTGAAACTGATATCTAGGAGTTACGTCACCTTCTCTTTCTGCTATGTGACCTAAGGTCACAAGTGTAATAGGTGAGGAAGAATAAACACAATATAAAAAGTGAGACGTCTCAAGGGAACAGCTGCGAAGGGGCACGGAGTATGCTGACAATGCAACGTGCTGAAATTATACAAAGTGTTGACAATACAATGAGTAGGAAACGAACGGGAAAAATAAACAACTGGCCACCTTATTCTAAAATCTTTCAATACATACACGTAAAATGCCATAAACCATCAAAGACTCTAGACCAAATGTACGATGGACGGTCGCAACGTAAAGCCAAAGATATCTGTTCGTCATTGTACGCTTCACAGACGTTAAAGGGCACCAACGAAATTAAAAACATGCCACCGAACTGCGTTGGTGAGATCTTCCTTTACGTTTCACAAACGCTAAGAAGCGTCAACGTAATCTCTTTCTCTTCACTATACGTTTCACAGACGCCGAAGGGCGCCAACGTAACTGATTAAAAACATGCCACTGAGTAGAGCTGCTGGGATCCTCCTTTACGTTTCAAAAACGCTAAGAAGCGTCAACGTAATCTCTTTCTCTTCACTATACGTTTCACAGACGCCGAAGGGCGCCAACGTAATTAAATACATTCCACTGAACTGCACTGTTGAGATTCTCCTTTACATTTCACAGACGCCATGAAGCGCCAACGTAAATATGTTCCGGCTCGTTCTCGTTCTACTGTAACGGACGCAAAAGACGCGACAATAATCAAATTAGGGTCGCCTTACCTCTGGTACGTTGCACAGACGCCTAAAAGCGCTAACGTAAACAAACTCCAGAACAGAATGGTGAAAAAGATAAACGCCACGCATGTAACAAATTGACAAGAAAAGGGGGAAGCGAGAAATTAAAACATGATACTTAGGTGGATGGTGTTGGTGCCGGTTGAGGATCTGGCGAAGCAATGGCTACCGCATCAGCTGGGTTTGGTTAAACAGGGACGAGAGCCATGAAAGAGCTTCAGCGGCGCTGGCCGCGTTGCGGAAGAATGAAACTTGCTTGCCCGTTGTAGAGTAGACTTGCGAGAAGACGGCGAATTTGTTTGCTAGGGCGTTAGGCTTTTGTACATTATGCTAGCATTTTTTCGAGAATTTTAGTGAGGCAAAAGCATTGAGCATTATTCGAGCATTTTAGTGGCATTTTCCCGGAAAATTAATTTTTTGCGAGAAAATAAAATAGAAATTAACTTTTTTCAGGAGCCCATAGCCATGGGCTCCTGCTTTTTTAATGAAAATGAAGACGAATGAGCATTATCCGAGCATTTTAGTGACTTTTTGGGGGGGAGACCGAGCATTTTAGTGGGAAAAATGGAGCATTAAGGCGGAGCATTTTAGTGGGGAAACAAAAGCATAATGTACAAAAGCCTAGTCACCACATTACCTTTTAAATAACTTCGGTCCTGATCTTGCTACGCCGTGTCTTCCCACTGCAACTCAGGTTCACAGGAATTGAAGCCTGTTTATATCTCCGGCGCAACTTTGTTTTAGACTTTTCCGCTAACAAGCAGTTTGAGAGCTTTTGAGGCTTAACTCTGTCTTTAATCATGGGATCAAGTTGTTCTGTTTTGAACGATACCGAGTACGATGTCTGGATCACAGACAGAATCAACTGGCCGGTCCTCATAGGAGTTTCTGCTGGGGTCGCCGCCCTGTTACTAAGTGCAGGAGGAATTGCTGCTTTTCTCGTACTCGGTTCGGTAGAAGCTGGAGTTGGAGGCGCGCTTAGCGGGGGAACAGCAATCGCCACAATTTATAAAGATATTTTCAAAGTTACTGCAGTTGCTTTTCGATCGCCTTTGGGGCGCGAAGTCTTGAATTTATCAATCGAACGCCTGGCTAGGGCGTTGAACATTACAGAAAAGCAAGCTGAAGATCTTCAAAAGTACGTTCGGGAATTGCAAGCTGAAGCTAAGCTAATTCACCCCGTTGAGAGGTACACATGGTCAGGCACTCTATCTCTAACCAAGAGAGTGCATGTTATGAATGAATTGCTTCAGTTTGATGACAAGGCCTGTTTTACAGGTCCTACAGATGGTTCTGAAAAGGTTTATCGGATATCAGAGCACTTCACAAGACTGGATGTCCGGAAAGGTAATTCCTTGAATACTCATCAGTAAAACGTCTACCGTGTATTTGTAATAAACCTATGACTTATAATAAGCTTATACACTGATTACTCTTTCGCGAAGGTTTTCTAAGCGATTTAGAAATACTCGTTTTTAACTTTAAAGTTGTTTAAGAGTTTGTTATGATAAATTAAGGAATGAGTGTAAATGCGTTTTTTGTTAGCCTAATGCTCCTTGCGTGTTTATTAACGTGATAAGCGACTGAGTAAATATATATACTCCGATATTATGAAGGTTGGCTGCAATGCAAATTAGGCCTTGATAGATTATTTGATACAGTACGGCATTCATGGTAGCCTTGCTAACTATGGCGCGTTATCAGGGTCAAAATAAAAAAGGTACACCCTTCGTTATGAAAAACAAACCGCAGACGTATTTCCGGTCGTCGCTTCTCTTCAGCTCCGAAAATTTTCTCGGCGGGTGAAACTATAGCCTGCATTTCATCCGATTACTTCGAGTCAGGGAGTAATAACGACTCGAAGTAATGGGATGAAATTCAGGCTAGTGAGACTAGGAACTACAGCCGAAAAAACCGGATGCTCTCGCAAGCTACATTCATGGAAAACAGGTCTGTCTGAAGTAGTGTTAGTTTTTTTACTGAGGAGACTTGTGTAGATACGTATTAATTGTAATTTTGACGCCTAAAATTGTCATTCAGATTAATCATGCTACCAATTTTTTTGGCCCAAGATCAGCGTTACAGGCAAATTTTTTCAGTCGAGTGCAATTTGGAATAAATTAGCACGAGAATAATTTTCAAAGACGAACAAAATTAGTGGTCTTTAAAAATTGTACAAGTGCTCATTTATTCAAAATTGCATGGGAAAAATCATGGGATTACTTATTAATAATATACATGTAAAAATTTCCACGAACTTTTGTTTATTTCATGTCTTTTGCTTTATGCTCCACCTACATGTACTTGATTGGTTTCAAAATGACAAGCTTGACTGACATATTTGAAACGTAAACGTGTTAAAAATTCACCTCTCTTAAACTAGGAGTATTCGGAGCTCAGGAGAGTGCCTTCGATATGTTTGCTAGGCTTACAGGTAGCAGTTGAGGGGAAAGGGTGGATGGTTCTTGCGATAGATAACTATCATTATGGCATATTTTGAACGTAAGGGCTGCGTACAGCGAAACCTCGATTTAAACTGTGTATCATAATGAAAAGGTTTTGAAGGCTAGTGATCAGCGTGATATCGTATGGTTCGTCTCAAGTGCTTGTTATTTGAGGAGACACTGGCCAGAGTACTTCAGGCATGTAAAAAGAACTTTTTGTTTTACTGGCGCAATAGATGTTCTACTGGGCGCAGTTGTTAGAAGGCCGATCAGCGCTTAACCCGGGTTTCTTTTTCTTTTGTTAAAAAACATTTCTTTGGATAATTTTCTCAGTTATTTTAAAGAGCGTCCAATCATCAACTTGTTGGCGAAATGAAGCCGGGTCGCGAGTTCGATTCTCGCCCGGGGCGTGAAAATTTTCTTTGTCCCGGGCGAGCATGGTTTTCTTCTCCTTCCAAGTTGAAAATGTTCACTGGAAGTGTATGTGTGCTGCTCACTGGTGTATCATTAAAATTAATAAAAATAAAAATAGAATTAATTTACGGAACCACGAGTTCGTGCGAAAAAAACAAAATGGCGGGTGAAAGGTAAGTGACGCCGACTGATTTTATTATTATAATTTTTTTATGATCCGAGTTGATTTTTGTATGATCCCAGTTGATCCGAGTCCAATTTTATTTTATTTTTATTATTTTTTTATTCGATCCGAGTTGATCCGACCCGGACTGGCGGTCCGAGTTGATCCGGTCCGACTTTTGTACCTGCCTAGAATAAAATGTTTGTTTGTCCAGTGCCGAAAATATCACACGTCATGATGAAATGGTGCCGCCGAGCTTCACACCTCGGTAAATTTAGTTTGTGGAACAACGTCCGCCGAGCTACACAACTCGGTAGATTTACTCTGTGCCACTACGGCCGCCTAGCTACACAACTCAGTAGATTTACTTTGTGGCACAACGGACGCCGAGCTAAACAACCTGGTTTGATGCATGCACCAGGAGTAGCACGTATTTTCCAAAAAAAAATATGAAGGCTTAATCCAAAGTAAAATTTTACTCAGGGTGTAAACTTTTAGCACATTTTTGAAAGATGAACTTTTTGGAAGATTCATTAAACACGGATCGATAGTAGACCTTCAGCAAATTCTTAAATATGTACGCTTTACGAAAATTCAGCACACTTTTAAAAGATGAACGATTTACGAAGACAGAAAAGCAGACCTCAGCAAACGTTTGAAAGATGAACGCCGAGTATGCACGAATCACCAAGTTAGTTAGCGCGTCAAAGTGAGGCAAAACGTAAGCAAGCGTCTCAAAGCGAGGCAAATGTGCGTCGACGACGACGACGAATGCATATCTCGAAAAAACCTCCCTCATTAATTGCACAGGACACCTAATAATGCACACAACACCCAATACAAATTAGGGGTTGCGTTCTCGTACCTCGAACACAAATAGCAAGTGGTGTCAGTAAAACCAGGAACAGGCCCGGAACACTCCCAGAACTTCCCGGAACACCTCCAGACGGACCGGAGCCCCCTCCGGAACACTCTCAATTACGAAAATTAGGTTTAAAAAAATGCAAGACCAAAAACTCCTTAAATTTCATCAAAGAATCAATAAATATCTTTTATCTGTAACTAGAAAACCGAGATTGGGTCAGATTGACGAATTCACGCTACTTAATTAACGACTTTTAAACTGATTTTAAGAATTGTAGTCCGTTGCCTTTATATGAATACTACTAGCTTTTTTGTCTGAAATTTAGCTGAAAGAGCACTACTGAAGTCAACAACAACAAAAAAAACAAAAATAAAATATTTTCTAAATGAATATATTGCCGATTTTAGGTCTACCGTGTATCACTTATAAAATTCAACAACAACAAAAAAATAAACCCAAAATAAAATATCTTTTAAATGAATACCTATATTGCCGATTTTATGTCTACCGTGTATCACTTATAAAATTCAGTTATTTTGGTTCTTGTCCTGTTTTCTTTTTCATTGATATTTTGTATTTGATTATAAAGAGAAATATTCTTGTTTTTAGTGTTTCATTTTGATTTTCCAGGTAAGTCTGTTTTTTCTTTCGAGCGGTAGATTATATATTATGGAGAATTCTTTGTCCTGTAGGTGTTTCCTGGGAGGGGGCACTCCCATATTTGGCCATGACGGTAATGTGCCCCTGAGCAGGGCATGGTTTTCAGGGTTTTGGACCGAAATCTTTTACCAGATTATGAAGATTGGATATAAGCAGTCTACATTTGTGATGTTAGTTTGAAAAATTAATATTAGTTACTTCTGTATGCGAAAAGAGACGAATCAAGGTCCTAATATACGGTCTGGGTTTGAATTTTAAGGCCTCGGCGGTAAAACTATACCCAAACTTTCCTTGAGTGCACACCTCAGATATGTTTTTCTTCTTGCAGTTGGTGAGACTTTGGACTGAAGCGCGATGACCTGTAGTTCCTCCGTTGGAATTTACAAATACTGTTGTTTTCGCTCAACACTGTGACTGCTCTGATGATATGGTTGTTGAGGCAGCAGCTTCCTTGGAGCACACCCTCTTTGTCTCGTTCGGCCATGATATATGTCTGAGGCTGAAGCTATCACTTGGGTAAGAACCATATCTATCTCATTTTGAAAATCAAAAACGCCATTTGAGAAATCAAGTGCGATAAATGTTGGAAATCAAAGTTTAGCTGAAAAATCAAAATGAAACACTAAAACAAAACTAAGACAAAACATCAAAATTAAAGAAAGCAATACAATAATCAAAACAACTGAATTTTATGAGTAATACTCCTCAAACACGGTAGACATCAAATTGGATAGGAGATATTTAGTGAAAATATTGTAAATCCCTCATGAGTCATCCGGTTGGGTCTTATCTAACACTTTTCTTTTCTTTTATTCTTGACTTCTTTCAAAAAGGGCTCTTTCAGCTATATTTCAGAAAAAAAATAGTTAGTAAGCCAATTCGTATAAAGGCACGGACTACTTTCTTACTGCGCTTTTCACAAACATGCGAACTCTAAGGCCTAGTTCAAACGTCGAATTTCACATGTGCCGAACTTAACGCGAGAGTTAAATGCATGTGAAGTGCGACGTTTGTCAGAATTGGTGGTGGCGCCGCGAGGTGCGGGTTCTTTTCTCAGGCTATGATTTTTTTGAGCGGTTTTCGATTTTCTGTAAACCCTAACGCCTTGGACACCTTTTCTCATTAGAAAGGATCTTGTACTTTCGGAATTAATACAAAAACAAACAAATAAAACAAAACAATGACAAACGTAACTTTATTGCATTTGGATTTGATTGTTGCTAGCCATGTTTGACAGGGCGTATTTTTTAGCGTGATAAACTCCCGCGAATTTCTCACTCCAACCTTTTCCCTGGTTACTTCGGTCCTGATCTTGTCCTTTCGTGTTTTTCCAACTGCTTTTTGCAGGATTTTCACCTCACAGGGGTTAATAGGAATTGAAGCCTTTTTATAACTGCGTCTAAATTTTTTTCTTTGACAGCGACTTCGTCGTGCATGATCAACGGGCAGCTTGCGGCTTATACTTCTACTTTTAGTTATGGGATCAAGTTGTTCGATTCTGAACGATACCGAGTACGACGTCTGGATCACTGAAAGAATTAACTGGCAGGTTCTCGCGGTTTCCGTTGGTGCCACCGCCGCGTTGCTAAGTGTGGGAATTGCAGCTTTTCTCGCACTCGGCCCGATCGAAATAGGACTTGGAAGCGCGCTCAGTGGAATGGGTGGAGCAGCAATCACGACCAAATTTAAAGAGACTGTAGCAGCCGCTGTGCAAGCCGGTTTAAATCCTTCTCGACTGACGGTGGTACGCGAATTCTTAGAGTCGCCATTGAAACGTCTTGCTAAGGCGTTTAATATTACAGAAAAGCAAGCTGAAGATCTTCAAAAGTACGTTCGAGATTTCCAAGCTGAAGCTAAGTTAATCCGCCCAGGTGAGAAGTACACATGGTCAGGCACTGTATCTCTAAATAAGAGAGTGCATGTTATGAATGAAAAGCTTCAGTTCGATGACAAAGCCTGTTTTACAGGTCCTACAGATGGTTCTGAAAAGGTTTACCGGATATCAGAACACTTTACAAAATTGGACGTTAAAAAGTAATCAGAGAATGTTAAAACCGTAACCGTGCATTTACAGAAAGTAATAAAGTTGAACCTCACCGGCCACAGCGGTCGCCTTGGGAACAGAAGAAAGTGACCGTTGTAGAGAGGTTTAAACACGAGTCAATGTGTGGTCGACTGTCCAACAAAAGAGTGGCCGTTTTGGAGAGGTGGCTGTTAGTGAAGGTTTGACTGAATACCGATCAGTCACTGCCCGCTGTTTACAAACGTTTTATAAACATTTAAAAGTAGATTATTACCATAATTATCTTGTAAAGAGATTATGTATATGCCTATTTTTACAGGGGCGCGTTGGTCAGCAAGGACCTCAAAGCCAGTTTATTGCAATAGATCCGTATAGGATTACAAGATCGCACTAAAATACAAAACACCCTATGACGACAAACAAAACTCGAAAGAAACTAAGTACGACACCGCCGGATACGAAAACCCCAAACCACTTTGTGGAAAAAAGGGAACGTACGCCCCCACCTGCTGAAATCAGCTGCGGTGCCGACAACTCGGGAGCAGAGGTACCCAAAAACTAGCTAGCAAAAAGCCACAAACAAATATAGCACCAATTGGCAAATAAAATATAAGTTAAGAGCTCGAATGAATGCTGACCTAGACTGATTCAAATCGCAACGTTCAAATAAACATATCTCAAAAAGCTAGAAATATCTTGATCTACGGCGCTCTTAGTTGCCTCAAAATTCTCGCTCTCCAGATTGTACTTGGCGTCCTCCAGGGTATCAAGAACCTTCGATACCGCTTTGCACTAGCTCTTCGTTACGTTTCTTCGTTACTGCTCTTTTCGTTACTTTTCTTTTTAAAAACCGGACGAGAATCTGCTGTTTTGATCCTCTTCATCTCAGTCTGATGATCGCAATCGAATCATCGGTGGGCCTTTTCACGGAAGCAGATACATGAGAGGAAATCAGGTCGGACATTTTCTTTAGAAGATCGTCGTTGTTAGCTTTTATGATCTGATGGACACGAGCTTCATCCATGGTGCGGTCTAAAAGTTAGGAGCTCAAGTAAATGCTGACCTAGACTGATTCAAATTGCAACGTACAAGTAAAACATATCTCAAAAAGCTACCCTCAATTCCTCCTAGCCGGCCCGGGGAAGAAAAGTCCTTACATTCTCTCTAAATTCCACCCGCTTAATACGGACACCCCGTTATTACGGACAGTTTGCTTTGTCCCTGGGGAAAGAAAGGCCCATACATTCTCTCTGAATTCAACCCGCTTAATACGGACACCCCGTTATTACGGACAGTTTGCTTTGTCCCTGGGGAAAGAAAGGCCCATACATTCTCTCTGAATTCAACCTACTTAATAAGGACACCCCGTTAATACGGACACCTTCTAAAGTCCCATCAGTGTCCGAGTGTCCGTATTAACGGGGTTTGACTGTAGACGTAAGATATCGCATCGCTGTTCAAGGAATTAACAGGGGTAATTTCAAGGGTAACAGACTTGTTGTTTGCCTTCGCTTTTTGTAAAAAAGATAAACCAGAAAAACTCAGTGTTGTCCTCGCTTGTTGACTGTTTGCTGTTTGTTTCAATAATTTCGATAATTGAGCTAAATATAGCGAGCTTTTCAGGCCCTTTAAATTTCAGACATATAAGTTCGATGACGAAAAAAATTCGCAAAAAATTGCGTTACTTCCGATTCCCCCTAAATTTGGTCCCGGCGGGAAGTTAATAGATTTAGCCAATTATGTGCCTAGTTCCAGCCCCCGAGGAGTATTGAGCTTCACGCAACGATTTGCAGCACATGTTGTTGAAACGCAAGGAATTACTTCCCGCTTGGCCTTCTCTTAGCTTTTTGCCGTCAAATCCTTGCTTATTTTGATGAATTATATCAGCAAATTCATGTTTGCTTGTCTTTAATTCGATAATTTGATGGAAACCTGGGAAAACAAAGCGTCTTTGTAAAGTAAACACTTGACCACGAGGGACGCCGATGTATAGAATTCATTATCCTAATAGACCTTGTCACGGTTTTCGACGCCATCTTGACGAGTAGGCAAACGCGTGAGAAATTACAGTGTTTGTATGAGAATCTAATGTCGAATAATTTCCGTAGAACGGCTGTTCTGAAAAAAATATGATTTGTTAGAACCACTTTTAAAATTTTCTATACATTTCTCTGTAAGAAAGTCCCGGGAAAATTACAGACAAATATATGGAAAATCTAAAGCAAGGCTCTGGAGAAATTTAAGCACAGGTACGCCCCCAAAATTTTTTGGGACAATCCTTTGCTTTGTAGCTTTAGTTTACAATTGATATTTTTTTCACAACAGCCGTTTTACGGAAATTATTCATCATTAGATTCTCATACAAACACTGTAATTTCTCACGCGTTTGCCTACTCGTCAAGATGGCGTCGAAAACCGTGACAAGGTCTATTATGATAATCCGACTAGCATAATCTGATAGCGTCTCAAAATAAATTTGTAGAAAATTCCAAGCCGCTCTATATTTTCGAACGATTTTCGGGTTGTTTTGCTCAGATATTGAAAAAAAAAAATCTTTGTTACTACCATATTACACGCAATAGACACATTTCCTGGCAAAATGACATTCTTTATGAGTTTGAAAACTTTTTTTTGCAGAAATATGCCTTGTTAATTTTTTTTGCGGAATATTATGGGTTTCCTGAGACCGAAATATTTTTTTTCTGAAAGTTTAATCCTTGCCCTTTCCAATGAGGTATAGCTTTATATGGAATTGTAAATAACAACAGAGATATAATTTTTTAAAGTTGCATGGTCAAAAGTATTGTATATTGTGTTTCTTGTTTATAGGTCAGTTGAGCATGCAGTTTTAGTAGTGTCGTTTCGTCTATCCAACCTGGCAGAAAATATTTACCGGGATTTATAAAAAAAATATATTTTCTTAGACCGTTGTTTCTAGTAAATTCGCAAATCACAATAGTGTACTAACGCGGGACTAAATTTGCACGTGAGAACTCCTTTGAAAAAGTTTGCGATATATTTGTCCAGGATTTTTAACGATCATGTACTGAAAATCGGGGAAAAGTAAGGCAACAGAAAATTAGAAATTTCAGCATTTTAAAAATCGAGCGTCCATAGCCAAAGTATTAAAACGAGAACATCGTATCGCCGTCTCTTCGAAAACTTTTCACCTTCTACGCCAACAAAAAACCTTCAAGATCTGCCTTAATCTCGCAAGAAGTCAAGTGTGACTGTGAAGACTGTTTTAATTTTTTCTTAGTTGAATGATAAAAGCTGTATCTGCATTTTTCCCATGATATATATATGAAAGTAATTTTGGTTGGCTGATTCGGGAAATGCCAATCAATCAAAAAACGTTTCGTAGAAAGCTTGTATCCCTGAGGCTGTCTTTTCGTGTCGCCTTGCCCGTCAGAATCGGTTATTTACAGAGGGGAACGAAAATAGAAGCTGATCTCAGGAGAGATTTCCTTCATTAACCCAAGCCAATTCCCAGGTATGTTTTAAATGAATGTCTAAATGTGTGATTTAAATAGCATGAAGAAAATTTGGAGTTAAACCACATGTTTAATATTGCCTTCGCGTCGAAAATTGAGTACCGAACTTAAGTTTTTGTTATCAAGTCCTGAAAACCTATCCCTTATTATTGAATTATTTCAATGCGACGGGCGTCTCTATTACCCTGAAAGTATCTTCTAGGGAAAAAAAATTTCTGATCTTATTAAAAAGTGTCCAAATTTCTCCACGCGACTTCCTTTGCGAACGCGAGGAAAGTTGAAAGTTGATGTCAGCACGTGGCTTATAGGGGAAAACACTTCCCAGAATCTAGAACATTGACTTCCCAGAATCAAAATCCCAAACACTTCCCAGAATCCAAAAACACGTCTCAGAGTCCAAAACACCTTCCAGAATCCGTGAACGTGAATCGACACTCACTTAAACACTTTTAGAATCAAGTCGTCGGAGTTGAAGACTGTTTCATAGAATCGCACGTGGTTGCATCATCATCAATCACGAGGTTATCATCTACATCAATGATGAAAATCGTGATATTTCTTACCTACTCGGTATTCGACGAGCATCATTATGTTAAGAAACCATGAAGAAACCTTGAAACCTTTGAGTCTTCCTCTAAGCAACGTTTCGTGAGTTGATATTCAAAGTACTTTAACAATTTGTATATTTTGCAACAGATGTCGGAAGGAAAGACAAAGAAAAGTGAATCTACAGTATGAGGATCGACTCACTCAGCTGTGTGCAGCAATTCGCGATTTCAGCGTACAGCAATACCCAATTCTGCACAAAAGATAGTCTTAATTTAGGATTAAAACAGTAGATTGTTGATCCCTACGAGCCACCGTAAGTTAGCGAATTTTAGGTTAAAAATTAGGACAGTCTGAGACTCGGACGTCGAAAAACGATCGATTATTTTTCTCACAAAATTGTAAAAGGCTCCTGGCGTGAACAATGTACATGAGGTGTTTTATCTACCTAATGTAAGCTATCTATGGACAAAAAAGTAAAAGAAATTGATTTTTCAACTCTTACCACGAAATTAAGATTTTGTTTGATTTTTCCAGACCGTCGCTCTTAAGCCTGTTTTGTTTCCTTTGTTTAACGTCAGGTGTGAGTTATAAATTATATTACACCGGAAATGAGCCAAATGAATCTGACGGACTGGTTTAGTGTTTTCTGGGTTAGAAAACTTTGTATTTCGTTTTAGAATACGTTTTGATCCGGAAAGTTTTTTGTTCGTTTTAAGGATGAACATATTTTTCTGTCTTCGGCTAGATATTTTGTTACATTTTGGCTTTTTATTTTAATGATTTGCAATTAGGAAGAGGTTATTAAAAAATTTACAAAATTGTAAACGTTCATCCTAATCAGCATTCCGTTGTTTCAACTATTCAACCCTGTATTTCCCCTGAGGCAGAATTGAAAGCCCTCGCCTGACTTTTCAGTGAGCCGAGTCTTTACGGGTGTACGCCACTTCCACATTTCCCGTAATGCACCTTATTTATTTGCCCGCCAAAATGTTGCATAAGTATTGTTTTCAATTTCTTTTGGGACGGCTGTAATACCCAGGAGAAACGAAAAACAAAGGTTATGAAAAATTTTGGGAAGCAAATAAGGTGCATTATGGGAAATGTGGAAGTGGCGTTAAGGTCCTCAGAAAACGTGATGAAATTGGTGAAGTGCGTGCGTCCCCTTCAGCCAATTTCTAACCTTAATTTGGTCCTGATCTTGCTCCACCGTGCTTTCCCTCTGCAACTGATTTCCGCACAATTTTTACTGATCTCACAGGTTCACAGGAATTGAAGGCTGTTTATATCTCCGGTGCAACTCTGTTTTTGACTTTTCCTCTAACAAGCAGTTTGAAGCTTAAGCTCCGTCTTTAATCATGGGATCAAGTTGTTCTATTTTGAACGATACCGAGTACGAAGTCTGGGTCACGGACAGAATCAACTGGCCGGTTCTCATAGGAGTTTCTGCTGGCGTCGCCGCCCTGTTGCTAAGTGCAGGAGGAATTGCTGCTTTTCTAGTACTCGGTTCGGTAGAAGCCGGAGTTGGAGGCGCGCTTGGCGGCGGAGCAACAGCAATCGCCACAATCTATAGAGATATTTTCAGAGTTACTACAGATGCTTTTCGATCGCCTTTAGGGCGCGAAGTCTTGAATTTATCAATCGAACGCCTGGCTAGGGCTTTGAACATTACAGAAAGGCAAGCTGAACATCTTCAAAGGTACGTTCGAGAATTCCAAGCTGAAGCTAAGCTAACTCGACCCGGTGAGAAGTACACATGGTCAGGCACTCTATCTCTAACGAGAAGAGTGCATGTTATGAATGAATTGCTTCAGTTTGATGACAAAGCCTGTTTTACAGGTCCTACAGATGGTTCTGAAAACGTTTATCGGATATCAGAGCACTTCACAAGACTGGATGTCCGGAAAAGGTAATTCCTCGAATACTCATCAGTAAAACCTTTACCGTTCATAAAATAAACTTATGACTTAAGCTTATACACTGATTACTCTTTCGCGAAGGTTTTGTTAGAGATTTAGAAATACTCGTTTTTAACTTTGGAGTAGTTTAAGAGTTTGTTATGATAAAGGAATGAGTACACGTAAATGCGTTTTTGTCAACCTATAATGCTCCTTGCTAGGTTATTAACGTGATACATGACTGAGTAAATATATAAAAGACTTACTCCATTATTATGAAGGCTAGCTGCAAATTTTAGGCTTTGATAGATTATTTGATACAAAGCATTCATGGAAAACAGGTCTGGTTTAGTGTTGTAATTGTGAGTAGTGTTAGTATTTTTACTGAAGAGACTTTTTGTAGATACGTTTTAATTGTAATTAGAAATTATATTGTAGTTGTATTTTAAGCTTACATTGTACCGAACTGATGAATTTTTACCGTGTTGAAATAAAGATTTGACTGATTGATTGATTGATGCTAGCATAATTTTTGGTATAATCAGTTTGTCATGTCGAACATATGTAATTTTCATCTATTTTTCAAAAAAAGCACTGCTAACATAATATGCACTTTTGGCTAGTTTTGACGCCTAAAATTGTCATTCAGATCAGTATTACATGCAAATCTGAACAGTCGAGTCCAATTTGGAATAAATGAGCAAGAGTAAACTTTTCAAAGTCTATTCATGGGAGTACTTAATAATATACAATCAAAAATTTCCAACGAGCTTTTGTTTATTTCAAGTCTTTCGCCCAATGCTTCGCCTACATGTACTTCAGTGATTGCTTTCAAAACGACAAGCTTGATTTACATAGGTGAAACGTAAACCCAAACGTGTTAAAAATACCCTCCGTCTAAAAATAGCAAGTTTTCAAGTCAAGTTAACAGGTCTTTTTTTTTTTTGCATTAGTTGATCACGTGATCAACTTTCGATAAACAGGAAGACATTTCGCTTTTGAAACGGTGAGGGCAAAAGCAGTAAACGGAGGAATGAGTTTGCGGAATGGCATGTGGCATGGCTCGAATTCCCCGCTGACTCAAAACTAAATTTGACTCAAAAACTAAATCTCCTTTCCTTTTCTTGGCTCAAAAATTCACTAAAATTTAACCCGATAATTAGAATTCTGGTTCTTGTAGCTCCACTCAGATGCCATCCCATTAGTTCGTCTTGTTGTATAATGGTAAAAACACTAAAATAATAATAATAATAATAATAATAATAATAATAATAATAATAATAATAATAATAAGACTACAGCAATTTGATTTTAATTGGTGGAACGAACAAATCAGGTTTTATCACTAAAAATGGTTAAGATTTCATTTTATTACCGTTTCTGACGAAATAAGTTAGATTTGTACTGGACTATACACTGACCATGAAGTGCTGAATAATCAGTAACTATCAATTTTAACGTGGCAAATTGAGTTTTGTAATCGATCCCAATAACTCGAATCCTCGCTAACTCATTCCAGCTGTAACTCGAACTGTTCTTCGTTTCCCGTCAGAGTTCGAGTTACTGGGGTTCTAACTGTATTTGAAACCGCGTGAGAAGTCTTTCTTTTCGAGACGGTGGGGTGCGTGATCGTGACATAATTAACAGTTAATGAATGAGGCTGAGTGTCTTATGAAGAATTATGGAGATCGAGGAGGGTGTTTTCCGTCGAGGCCGTAGGCCGAGGCGGATAACACCCTCCGAGATCTCCATAATTTTTCATATGATACGAAAGCCGAATTCAATAACTGTTTTATTATTCATTCAAAATAATTCCTAGTTTAAAAACATAGCTAAAACATTCTTACCTCTATCGATCCATCGATGTTCAGTTCATCTTCGATAGTGTACGTTTAGGTTTGTCCAGCTCCACAAATATTCTCCAAATAGCAGATGTCGCCCTTCGAGTTGTCTTCTTGCTGTTCTTGCCATGTTTTTAGCTATTTTTTCGCCTAGTTATTACTCTTGAAACGAGTGAAATGTCCGCCATTTTTTCAAATTCAAAACCAAAACAACTCAGCCTCGTCCCCAGGTCTTCTCGGTTAACGGTGCCTTAACCTACAAAAACGCTGCATTTTTGACGTCATTTCCTCGTTAAAGTCAAATTTCTTCCAAATTTGGTCATCAGTAACTGGTTATGGTGAATTAAACATGTGCTTTTAGCCAATCAGAATCGGGGAAATATTTTGAATGAATAATAATATATATTCAGAGATCAAATATACCAGACTTCACGTTCAACGACCGTGCTTTTCCCTCTCGCCTTACGATAAAGATTGACCCTTGATTTGAGTTTAGTGGAGTGCAGGTTATATATCCCTAAAAAAATGAACCGAACGATTTGCGAGACAATACATCTGCACGTATTTACGAAGCTTAGTATTTGTTCATATTTCATTTGGGACTACCGCGTCTAGGCCATCTTGACGAGTACGGCAAACCCGTGTAAGTCAGAGCGCCGAACGCGCTCCAAACTAAGGCCAAAGAGAGGCAAGTCCCAATCAGGGAATTCCCAACCAAGTTCCCTGATTGGTACTTGTCTCACTCTTCCAAATTTGGGATTTTTGTGGGTATTCTTTAAATACCCTAAAACATCCAAAAATGGGAATCTGTTATTGTATCCTTTGCATCATGAGCTAGAAGACCAAGAGCCCTTTGTAAAAATTTTCTATACGTACATTTGTCTGCAAAAATTTCCCGGGAAAAATTGCAGACAAATATATGGAAAATCTAAAGCAAGCTTCTGGAGAAATTTTTAAAAGCACAGTAAACGGCCCCCAAAATTTGTACTACTTTCTTAAAATCTTAAATTCGTCAATCTGACCAGGAGCCTGGTCTGACTCAACCTCCGTTTTCCAGTGACAGATGAAATCCTTTGCTGTGTAGCTTTAGTTTAAAGTTCATATTTGTTCTAGAACAGCCTTTTTACGGAAATTATTCAACATTGGATTCTCATACAAACACTGTAATTTCTCGCTGTAATTTCTCAGGTAACCTGTAAACTCTTAGCGTATATGTCAAAAGTAGCCATTGCAACGCCCGCCGAAAATTAGAAGGATTTATATGAGGAAAACAACTCTTGCCACCCCGTCACGCTTGGGTGTTTTTCCAACAACTCCTTGTAAATTCTGAAATTTTTAAATTTTCGTTAAATCTTTTCCGCATTTAAGGGCTCAAAATGCCTGTTATGAATTAAAAGGAGATTTGAGCCCCGTAATGCTAAGGAAATATTTCAAGACAGTTTGAAAATTTCGAATTTTTCAACGGACTACTTTCTTAAAATCTTAAATTCGTCAATCTGACCAGGAGCCTGGTCTGACTCAACCTCCGTTTTCCAGTGACAGATGAAATTGGTGATATTTTTGTTTTTTTTTGGTTTTGTACTTGTTTGCGTAATTTTTGTAATTAAGGGTGTTCCGGGGGGTCCGGGCCTATTCTCGGTTTTACTGACACTGTCTGGGGTGTCTGTAAAACCAGGAACAGGGCCGGAACATTTCCGGAACACCCTCAGGACATCCCGGAATACCCCGGAACAACCCCTTGACGGATCAGAACCCCTCCCCCTACCCTCAATTACAAAAATTAGGTTAAAAAATTACAAAACTAAAAAAACCCTTAAGTATCATCAACGAATCAATAAATATCTTTGATCTTTAACTGGAAAACGGAGATTGGGTCGGATTGACGATTTCCCGCTGCTCAACGACTTCAGAAGATTGTAATAAGGTAGTCCCCTGCCTGTACACGAATACTCACTAGCCATTTTGTCTGAAATATAGCTGAAAGAGCCGCTACTAAAGTCAAGAAAAAAATAAATAAACCAGAAATAAAATATCTTGTCGATTTGATGTCTACCATGTTCGAGGAGTATCAATATAAAATTCACTTATTTTGATTCTTGTCTTGCTTTCCTTTCTATTTTTTTTTTCGAGCGGTAGATTATATATGGCATGGAGAATTCTTCGTTCTGTATGTGTTTCCTGGTATAGGGGGACACTCCCTAATTTGCCGAAGTTTCTCTGGGATAACTGGTTGGCGTTGGAAGATATCTGCCTTTGTCCATTCTCGTCCGCCTTGTCGTAATCATCAAGAGACCGCAGGTTTCGGTGGCCCATTACTTTCACTGACAATAGAAGTTCGCTTGACGCTGGCGGTCTTCAACTTTCTAACCACTGTTTTAAGGGGCTGATCAAGGGGGAGGGTGCAGGGGTTGCGCACGTCCTCCCCCTGAGATTACCTGCGTCTTCCTAATACAGCTGGTATTCGGCAAAAAAAAAAAAAAAAAAAACAAACAAAAGCACTTCCCTAGAAGGAGGAATCATGGTTTGTAGAAAAAGAAGACGTGTCGTTGCAGAGAATAGATAAAAATAATTTTTTTCAGTTTTTCTTTATAGATTGTTAAATATAGAACTTTAAATTGTTTCTTTTCTCTTGACGCTGGCGGTCTTTAATTTTTTAACCTTGTTTTTAAGGGGCGGATAAAGGGGGAGGGTGCAGGGGTTGCGCACGTCCTCCCCTTGATATTACTTGCGTCTTCCTAATCCAGCTGGTATTCGGAAAAAAAAAAAAAAAAAAACACAAACAAAAGCTCTTCTGCAGTGGGAGGAAGCAGTGTTTCTACAAATAGTAGCTTGTCGTATGCACGGAATCTTGTCAATAATTGGGTCACAGGATATACTTTGAGATAGCTAGTTAGAACCTAGTAACTTTTTCCAGGAGGGCGGAATGGAAGAAAGGATACTGTAGGTACTGTAAAAAATTGAACTTTTTGTTAAATCCTTTGCAAAGAGAATTAAATGATAGGAAACAATTCTGTTCCGTTTCAAATAAACCTGCAATGCGAATAATTCCAGCTTGATGACACCAAGGAAAATATATTAATTTTTTTCAACACTTAACAACCTATTGTTCTAGATGATCTGATTAAGGACTTCAACATTGCTTTTAGGAGAATTTGCTGCAATTTTTTACCAATAGGAAATAGAATCTTTATAAAAACTAGCTGGGAAGTATTCGCTTAGGCCAAGAAGCTTACAGTCATAATTGAACTCGAATACAAAGGTGGGATATATCGCCAGGGAGCATCCTGATTTGAACAGAAACGGCGTACCAAGTTTAGTTTCAGAACCTTGTCGAAGATGACGAAATCTTTCCTTTCTATGTCGCCTTCTTTCTTCGATTTTATCATAGTGCACTAGTCTTTTTAATTTTTACAGGTTTATGATTCAATATGAAGTCGAAAGCCATTAGTTATTCACCTCTTCAGCAAAATGATGCGGTATTTCCAAAGAACTACACAAAAAAGTGACCTTGAAAAGGGCTAGCATTTTCACAATAGTTATCCTTCTGTAGACTGAGATGTCCCTTGGAGATCAAGATTTTAACGTGTTTTTGACACTTCGTGAGCTTGTCGAGGAAAAAAAAAAACGTTCCTGAAGCGTAGACACCGACTCATCTCTTATTTTAAGATCTAAAACTCCGTCCTTTCTGTGTCTCATTGAGCCAAGCCACAACATTTCAGATTTTGATAAGTTTACTTTCAGCCCTATACATTTTTCGAATCGGGAAAGCAAGCTAAAGACGAGGTCAAACATGAAAACGAGGGGGAAGGGGAACAGGACTCTGCCTTCTTCTCCTCGCCCCTCTCCCTCACTTTGTCGTTTGTCCCGCTTTGCGGCCTTCTCTCTTACTTTGCGAATAACAAACGAAAAACACACCAAACAAACCGCCTATTAGACATGCTAAAATAATTTGATAACAGATCAAAACTATTTACCTTTGGAGCTGCGAGATCTCTTTATAAATTCTCATAACCTTTTTTCAGTTGATGATGTATTGATACCCGTTGGGTGAAAATTAATATTGCTCACTCTTGGGATTTAAAACCTCACATGCTCCGTTTGTATCCTGCAATCTTGCTATTTACAATTTTCTAATAATAACGCCTAACTATTCAAAGTAAACACCATACACTACAGCAGCAGCAAACAACGATCCATTCTTGAACTGAAACGAAGCAAAAGTATCAACGTTCGTGTCCCACAGGCATCTGCTTCCAATTCGCATCGCTTGATTGCCCAACTGTCCAATATGCACGAGGCAAATAATTTTATAGCGCTGTATGTTAAGATGTTTAACGCGATCTTTGACCTCGTCCGAAATCGTCTTCGACAACTGTCGGCATTTTTCGGCATCATACTTCGCCTCGGCTAGCCTCTCCGTTAAAATTTCCTTGAGTATCCCACGAACATCGCCCTCTGGAAATTTTCGATCAGGTGCGGTTTTGTACGTGTTTTCCTTCACGACCTCAGGTCCGCGACGAACATCTTGCCTAGAAAACGAAGTTGCCATGGACTGAGAAACCGAAACGCTGCTCGGCGGTCTTGTTTTACTTACTCCTCCGGGCGCAAGTTCCGCTTTACCTTTAGTCGGCTTCAAATTTTTCGCTGCTTTTTCCGTTTTGGAGTCTTTAGGCGTCTCTGTGGCCTCTGATCTTGAAACTTCCGAGCTCATTTTCGCTTTGTGCAACCAAATTTCGTCGCCCCAATCCGATAAATCAGCTGCAACACTGACGGCAAAAACACTTGCTGTATTATATATTTCTTTTAAGTTGAATGAGATTCGCCTTCTGGATAATACTCCTCCCGCTGTTTCGATAAATTACGACCGCTTCAAATGACGATTTGTTTTCTCTTAGTTGTTATAGTGACCTGTTCAAATAATTACTTTATTTTAGCACAAGTGCTAATGCGGTTTTACAAAACTCTTCCTTTGTTTAAAAACGCATAATCCAAACTGCCACTAGCCACCTATTGTTTGCTTTCCTCTAGGGCTTTAATTCTGATTTGTATTTAAAAACAAAAAGAAAGGCAGATTAAGCGTATTTAAGCTTCGTGGTCTGGTGTAAATGAAAAACAAAATTATAACCGTAGACGGGTGTTGTTTAAAACAATAACTTGTCTACTCAACATAACGTTTTGAAATTTAAGAACATTGCATTTAAATTAGGGATGTAATGTGGATCCTTATTTCTCACCTTTCGTAATTATTGAGTCCGTTCGAATTACATTCTCTAACTTTCTGATAAAAACACATTTTAATTTCAGCTGTTTTAGCCATAATCGAGACTTCCAGAATCGACAACCCACCAAGCAGCCATATATACAACACCTACTTAGCGTGCGTCATTCGGCAAATAGTTTCGTTTTACACAATGAAGCTGCAATAAAAACAAAACAAAATTATAACCGTAACCGAAAACGAGGAGCCAGCGAGGACATAACGCATCACGCATCATCACGCGTGATATATGACGCAAGTCCCACACCTGCACCTGCAAGAGAAATACCATCTATTTCTTGTGTTGCGGTATGTATGACCGCGGCAGTTATGAACAAAGCCTTTCGAATTGCCATTTACAGGGCAATACACGGCTTTTTAACACAACTATATGGAATGAAAACTCCTTGAAACGTTAAAACGATGTTTAACTTCGTGATCCGTAGAATCTATCCGGCAATTTCAAGCTCGCGAGGGGGGTTATAGAATTTTAAGAGTTTGATCTCGTCTCAGAAAATAGAGAACTTACTCTATTCGTCATCTTTTCCCAACATTTTCAGTGGGTTGTTGCGCCAGTAAGCCAAAGGAAAGCTTGATTTAACGCTTTTATGATTGAAATATCATTCAGAGAAACAAAGAGTTCTAGTTTTCTATTCAACAATTTTACCAAAGTGTTCATTAGCATTATCCAAAACAAAGGTTTTTTTTATACAAAACCTCGTAGAAGGGTAAATGTTTAATACTCAAAGATGAAAGTTTAATTTTAAATATATCTGGATAGTTTACTTGTTAATACACTAAAAGAAAAGGGTTAACTTAAAAGTAGAAAATTTTGTTTTCGTGAACGTCGATTTTCCTCAGCCTTTGTCAAAAATTTATGGTTAACCTTATTTTGGTATATTTACTAGAGTGGTTTAATTTAAGAACGATCGTTCTGGTCAAAGACATGTCAGGGCGGCGTGTGTCCGACATGTTCCGAAGCTATTCCGACGCAACTGTTTATAAATCCTCGGGAAGCAACGAGGCTGGGCCGCGGTGAAGTCGCGTTCGAACTTCACCGCGAAGGAGATGTCGAAAAAGTGAGCAAAATTTAGTTGATCACTTTTAAAGCCGATTGCGGGAACACGAGTTTTTTTTAATCTAAGTTTCAAAGTGCATTATGCCAAAGAGTAGAACAAATTCAGAACAATTTTAAAGTCTTGTAACGTTGATGAAACCTTTGTAGATGGGGTTTCCAGGGTTCTACAGCTTCTGTTAACGTGACAAAAGTAAAGAATCTTTTGTATTGTCATCTTTCTTCCCGTTTCACTTGTTCCAAGGCTTCTTCATATGAAAGAGGTTTGGGTCGATTCTTCCTAATAAACTGGAAACCAAAGAGAAACAAGTTGTGTATAATTAGTGGAGACCGCGGTAAGTTCTGTGCCTTGGGTCCGTTTCAAACTTCGTGCTGCTGCCTTGACGAACTGAGTTGATCTTGTTAACTTCAACTTGTGCAGGGCATTAGCATGACGTATGAAAAACCAAGTCGTGCTACCACGGAACCGCGTACAGTAAATACAATATTAGAATATATTTTTAAAAGTTGGCTTAACCAGTTTTTCCTATTCTCACGGTGGATTCCCCGCGAAATGACGGCTGAAAAAAGAGGGCAGAAATTCAATTCTGATGACGTGCCGTCACCCAGATCTGGGTAGTGCTTCTGATTGGTTGCGGCAAATTTTTCGCGCGCGATCAACCAGAAACACTACCCAGATCTGGGTAGTGATACCTGATCAGTATGGAATTTCTGCGCTCGTTCCTGGTGGCGTCGCAAAATGTCAACTAGTGGTCTATTATCAATGCTGCGTTCTAATTGGTTGAGCTACTACTAGGCTATATGTTATAGCCCACTAGTAGCGAAAAGCGCCGGCTTTCTGGCGACAAAAAAGGATTATAGTCTAGCTTTAACTAGCTATAGTTGTTTTGTCTCGATATTTTTGACCAACTAGTTGGATTTTACATAAACGATTATTCCTCTCGCCCTTCATGGCCTCCGAGTCAGTAGCCCGCTAGTGACTCAGAGCCCATTCGGGCTCGAGGAATAATTGTTAAACAGTATACCTGTTGTGTGTCCTCAAGAGTAGTGTATCGGTAGTTATTATTGAGGCCGCTTGAATAAGACTCGTACATTCTTTGATTGATCTCCACAAACTGCTCCACCAATCGGATCTGTTCCCGCAGCATGTTATTTAATACCACAATAGCTGGATTATATGCGGTCATCGCTAAAAACCAAGAGATACAGAAAAATGAATATCATTTTAGGGGCTGGTCGTTTATTATCTGCGAGGGGTGGTTGGGTGTGTTTGGGTGGGGGCGGCCATTTTGCTGGGGGGGAGGGGGGTCATTTTCAAAATCCTGATTGGTTTTGGGGTTCATTTTTAATGTGATAAAAGCCAAAAACTGTAAACATTTATTCCACAAACACTACTGAAGATAAAGTTAGTATGTGGTGAACTTCGGCACGATTTGTGGTTAAGAATAAGAATCTTAGTAGTTTCTACAGCAATTGGGTGGGGGGTCACTTTCACAATAAGTAAAATTTGGGGGGGGGGGGGGCATTTTTAAAAAA